GAATTTTGCGTGTGATACAGTCATACAGATACTGGACTTGTAAAATAATTAAAAAGAAATCGAAATGAGAGGTTTTAATAAATAAAAGCACTAGTAAATTGTAGTCGGTCCTCTCAGAGGAATAAGGTTGCCAAGGTATAACTATTATTAACTAACTACCTTCCACCGTGGTCCTCACTCCTCTGGTCGGCACTTTCTTGCATAACGCACTCCAACTCAACTTATTTTACTATCCAACCTTTTCTTCCATTCAACTCCATCTATAAATTAAAATAATATTTCATATATATATTTTTTTTTGTCTAATGCATATGCTTATTATATAGAATTTCTCTATTATTATATATCAATTTTATTTTGAGCTAAATAACAAACCATGGGGTCAAAAATGGATCACGATCAATGAAGATAAACTAAAGAAATTTGTAATGACGGTTGTTAGATATGCATAGAGTCACTCACAAGTCAATCACAAGTCAGAAGTCATTTTTCTTTCCTTTATAAAAAAGAATTGCACAAAGTGTTGATTGTAAAGTCAACTATTTTTTTAAGAAAACAATCCATCCTTTTGGTAATTGTAAAATATTGGTTTGTTAAATGAATACATGATTTATGCAATGTAAAATAAGTGAGTTTTCCAAGAAGAAGAAGAAAAATTGTTTTTGTGGTATTCTACAAAGTTGTATCCTACAAAGTTTCGAGACTAATTTGAGCTTTCAGTTAATGAGATTACTCGCTTTTGAAATAAACGAATTTTTAGTGTTTTTTTTTTCCATTTAAAACGGTAATAGCAATAACAATGTTATGAACATATAAAACTAGTCTGGCAATAGAGGTAACCTCTCGATGCCATACGGTGAACCATTTGATTCGCCGGTGGCAAAACCGATTTCGCCAAGCTCTCCTTCGTTCTCTTCTTCGAGCTCTTCTTCCTCTTCCTCTTCATCTTCATCGTCGTCTCTGTCTTGGTCTACACCATAAGGGAGGATCCGTAGATACATCTCGGATCCTCTCCATTGTCTTTCTGATCGTAAATTGTACTTTTTTACTAAGTTTCCTTGAAGAGCCACAATCTTTGTTTGCCTCGGGAGTAGATCGACTGGTTCCCTTTTCGGTATCACTATCCGCTCTACAGCTAATCTCGCTTCCTGCATATAAATAAACGAATTGGTTTAAAGCAATGGTGAATTGTGGTTACTATATCAAAGAAATTTGTTGACTAGCTCCTTTAGGTACCTCTAAGGCGTCCATTTTTTCAGATGGTTTTGGACGATCTCCTGGTCCAAACTCTCCGAGTCCATATTCGTAATCGGTTAGTAAAGACTGTATCGCCTTGGCCACTTGAATACCTGAACTAGTCTGCAAGAAGTAGAGTTTCTTTCGGCGAAGAAGCTGGAAACTGAAAACTCGAAGAGCAAGACTTTCTTAGTTTTTTTCCTTACCTTTGATGCATAAACAGGTATACCGTGAGATGCAGCTAACGAATTAATCTGAGGATTCTTCCTGATCTTGGATTGTAATGCAAGTAAGGCTTCTGCTTCGCTAATTTCGTCGGTTAACTCTATTGCAATTTCCGTTTCTAGTTGTCTCATTGCCTGACGAACAGTTGATTCTGCAATCTGGATGGGAGAAATCAACGAATCTGCGTATTAGCGTATGGATACTAACAGAGATATCAGTACTATTGTAAATGTAAAACAGGGAAAAAGGAGAATCTGAAATTCTAGCATTACCCCATAGGCATATAGATATATCGCTGTCTTGTGCTCGGAAGATTCTGGTTCAATCATCTCCTTAGTTGGAAGATCTTCAGAGATAGTTCCCTCGTTGGTGAGATTTGAAACATCTAACGTTTCATCTTCATGTTTCATATCCAAATTTCTCATGTCGATGGAAGGTTCATTCTCCATTATCACTTCCCCTCCATAAGAATTTATTGTGCGAATTTCAATGCGTGGTAAGTGACCTTTTAACCAACAAAGGAGACAAAAGAAAAAGATTAACTGACCCCTGAACCTTAAAATTCTTGTTGTATGAAAATAACTTCTGTATTTATCTATCTGTTCTTTGCATCTATGGACAGTTCCAAATCAATAAGACAGAGTCTACCTGCGAGGATAGCATCAACAGTTGCTTCAAGACTACGATGAACTCGAACTTCAAACTTTGAAACTATTTCTGCACCACAGCTAAATGTTGGAGGACCTTTTCTTTCAAGGACAGTCTTCTGGCCACCTCTTCTGCTTGCTTCTCCATCTCCAAGAGTCACACTCTGCCAAAAACTGTCCATTAATATGTATGAAACAATAACCTATTAAAGAATACAGGTTTACAATGCAACAATAAAAGAAATGATCCAGAATTATCGACTGTTTGAGCTACTACAACATGATATCACCCAATCGAAATCTTCTACGCAGTTCCTGTGCCCATCTCTTGTTTAGCCTTTAAATGGAGATGCAAGAGATATCCGTGAGGAACAGGAATCATCATCTCCTTAACCAATTTCTTGATAAATGCAGTGCCATATTATGTAAGAATGACCGACCATTGGTACGAGATTCTAATATAAATGTCAAGCTAGAATCTCCAAAAAATATCTTGAATTGGGTTTGGACGGTATGCAAACATATCATGTCTAACCTGTACACCTCCAACCAGAAGGTCTAACGAAGGATTCATAATCAAATTCTCTAAGGTCGCTCCATGAGCAGTGGCGACTAACTGGATCCCACGTTCTGCTATTGTACTTGCAGCGATCGCTTCAAGTTTAGTTCCAATCTCATCAATCACAATCACTTCAGGCATGTGGTTTTCTACTGCTTCTATCAGTACCTGAACGTAAAGTAAAATTAAAATACACATAAACAATCTCTGGTATAAGTCGAAACCCACCTCGCTTTCTAACAAAGTTCAAGCTATATCTACTAACTAACCAAACCTTGTGTTGTATGTCAGAGTCAGGGACTTGCATCCGCCTAGCATTACCAATCCCTGGATGAGGTATATCACCATCACCACCAATCTCATTGGAAGTGTCAACAATCATTACTCTCTTCTCATAGTCATTTCCTAGCATACGTGCTACCTCCCTGAAACAGCAATGATGATCAAAGTGAATAGATTTCCATAAGGGTCAAGCTAATCTATGTAGAAGAAAACTAACACAAACCTAATCATTGTAGTTTTTCCCACACCTGGAGGACCAATAAGCAACAAAGAATTCCCATCTTCAACAAGATCACGCACCAAATTAGCGCTTCCTCTAACGGATCGACCAACACGGCAAGTTAATCCAATAATATCTCCTTTCCGATTCCTCATTGCACTAATCCGGTGCAAAGTCCGGCTGATTCCAGCTCGATTGTCATTAGTAAACTCGCCAACCTGAGAAATTTCATTTCATGTTCTTTATCAAGCAGAAGTACATGTTTCCGTCACCGGAG